TCACTCGCCCGAAGCTCTTTGTGCTCTAACAAAATTACATTTACTTACTGTGTGTGCGGCACCAGTTACCGTCTGTGGGACGACCGATTAGGTTTGGTCTGTTTGTGATAGGCATCTTTCCCCTTGCTGATCAGGTTTTTAGTTGGCCGAAGGTTACAATTGTGATTGAAGAACACTGGATAAAGATAGACTGTCGATGTTTGAACATCGCTATCTACGTCGCATTGACCGTTGGAAGAAATCGTCTTGCATCCTACTCACAACTGTGAGCAGTATCTCAGAACAATAGTATCATCCGGTGAATAGATTTTTTTTTATGCTCCAACTATCCTATATCATTACCACTCTGTAGTTAGTTACAACGCATCAATTTATTGCTGATCAGGGCATGCTTACCGCATTCCATCATTGAACAGCATTGGGCCAGATATCAAACACCATAGATATTCGCTGATATTGAGCCCTTGAGTGTATGAAATGATCGAAATCCGAACGGAATGATTATTCAGAAATACCTCTTTTTGCTTCTCTCTCTCTGTTTGAGTAACACTCATTTTTTCTCTCGTTCTTTCCCTTTCCAGCTGAACTGGGTGATTATATGGAAACCGAGTGCAAATCGTACGCGTATCTGAAAAAGCATCACCTGTTACGTTCCGCACCGGACTCCTATCTGATGCGCGTGATGGAATTGCATCAAACATTGGTGTGAGTTTCTTCCCGAGCCTCATTATCCCACCCCGTGGCCTTTTATCGGCACTCATGCTGATTTTGCGGATCGTGTGTGCATTGTCGCGCTGCAGTGCACTTATGTCAGTGCTTAGAGTGGTGGTGGTGGTGGTGGGGAAATGATTACACTTTCGATTTTCCATTTTTACTTGGTGATATGATAGCAAACAGAACGATACGGTGGCAAATATGTATACATGAAACTACGAAGATGCATTCTTTTTGCTTTGAATGTTTCCTTCAGTTTGCTCACTCTCTAGCATTGACAAGGCCCCAACTTACTAAATAGCTCCAGGTCGGATTCCCGCCAACCATCCGGGATGGTAAACAGGTTCGCTTTATCTACACTCTGTGAAAATTCACCGCTCGAAATCCCTAGGCTTAATTTCCTGGTTCTCTTAGGCGAACAGTAGGTCGGCTTGATGTGGGACTTATTCTTTCTGCTGTTCAACACAGTAGCATATGAGTAAAATTCAAATCACACCAGTGTTATCATGCGTTGGTCATCAAACGTGTAGCTCAGGGGATAAGAGGTTTGAATCCCGTCCGCCGAAAGTACGCGGCTTGATTTCCCGATCAGGTCGAAACACTTGATCAGTGTGTGGATGCAAATCGCGGTTCACAGTGGTGGGATACGGATCTCTGTACGTCCCAGTTGACTTCGGTATTCGAACCTGTCACCTCTCCATGCGTTATCAAATCTGTAGTAAAAAGTGAACACTAGCGAGGTTCGTTTCTGATTGAATCCGGATTGCGTGATTGCGTACCAGCTACTCACATGTGTGTGTGTGTGTGTGTGTGCGTTCAAAAGTGTCACCTCTGCAGTGCATGCGGGTGGATGAATTCCAATTCTGGCGTTCCCAAGTTAACCCCTCGACGAAAACTGTTGCGGAGCGACCTATGTGAGCAAAATAGAATGACAATAAAGCAATCGGATGGTTCGGTCCGAAGTCAGATTTCTTTTTTCTTTTCTTTTTCATTTTACTTCCTTTTGATTGAATATACAAAGATACAATTTTCAGGAAGGGGGAAGCGGCCAATCAGAGGGCTGCCATAGAACACACAAATGGGGAAAGTCAGGCGGTGGTGGTGGGATTCGAACACTCGTCCTCCGGGGTGATAATTGGTGACGTTACCACCGGGCCACCACCGTCCATATCAGGTCCGTTCCATAGGANCTTCGTCATCAGCCATAGCTCGAAGCCTGGTGATGACGCAATACTAGATCGACCGAAGCGTTTCACGAATGGCAAGATTGCTAAGGTTTGCAGAAGCGATTGGTATCATCATTATCATCATCATCATCATCATCGTACAGCGAAATACAGCGAAGCGAACTTCATTGATCGCTGCCAAACTCGCAGTGCGTACAAGGTTAGTGGTATAATTTTACGTGGACGGGATTTGGACCTATTTTGAGGGAGGGAAACAAAGGAGCACCTATGTGGTCATCACACAGAGTGCGCAATCGAATTCTGCATACATACCGTTTCAAGCATTCTGATCTGATAAGAAACGACAACAAGAACGCCAC